TTTCATAAAATATAAATTTTTTGAAATGCAGCCCTGATACTATGACCACCATTTATTTCATAGCTGACCAGAAATTTTAACTCTCCCAAAATATATAAAATATGTAATTTTAGAATACAAGCCCTTTGAGCTGAAAACATGCAGCTTTATGTAAGAACTGACTGACTTTTTTCCCACTTTGCAAACTGGTGAAAATTTGTCAAGTACAGCATTTAGGAACCACGGTACTCAACCAATTTCACTTCATGAAACTGCAACAGATGAAAGGATCCCTCTGGCTCTCTCAGTCCTAACTCTGAGGCTCTACAGTTCCAAACATTTTCAACTAGTTAAGCCTGTATGACTTCCCACAGGACTGAAGTTTTTCCTGGTAGGTGGGTTCTAGAAGCACCCAGCAGACACACCTTTTTTATTCACTTGTGCATGTCAAGGGCTCCAAAAAAGCAACTATTTTCAAACAAACCTGCCCTTCCACAGGTCTGGGCATCCCTACAAGGAGAGGGACTGTTCATGACTTTTCTCACTAGACAGCAATGTGTGTCCATTTCACTTCTGAAACACCTTGGCAATTTACTGCACGGGCAAAAAGATCATGACTGGACAGGCTCCCAAAGGGCCTCAGGTCGCCAAATGACAAAGGAAAAGACCCCACTGTCCCAACCGAGGCAGTTCCCAGAGCAGTGCCCGGCAGTGGCCTTCCCGCCTCTGGAAGGCGGGGCCAGAACCCTTCCCACAGAGTTAAGCCCGGTTTCCTGCCCACCAGCCCCCACAGAGGTCTGCACCATCTGCTCTCAGGGATAGGTCACGACCAGATGACACCAGCTCTTTGACTGAGGCTTCTCCAGCCCTGGAGGCCGAGCATCTGCTTTGTCTCCTGCTCATTCTCAAACTGAGATAATTTGGGGGGTGGGGGGGTGCGGAGGGTTGGGAAGGTGGGTGGCTTTCGGTTTTTTAAACCATCACAAGTGTTCGGTGGAGGTGTCTACATGCTAGGGGTACACACTGCGGGTGTGTCCACAGACCGCCCGGCAGTTCCGGTAAGAGGGACACACAACAGACGGCTGTTCCCAGCCTCAGGTGACTCCCACACACAGACGTGCTCTGGCAGGATTTTTTTTGGAGCCTGCAAATATAGTGCTGGTACTCTGCATTCTACTTGCTAAATATTTAAGTTAAAAACAGTGTGATGGGCAAAATTTAACAATATTCCAGTCCATCTGCTTGACCATCTTCTCACCACGTGCTGCCACTTTACGCCTGAGCCGGCATGCGACACAGTGTGCAATGCACGGAGGAGAACATACTCCCACTCATCAGGCCCAACCTTGCTACTCCCCACTAGACCTCCGAACCCCAAGTCTGCACTGCAGCAAGACCCAGGGCAACTGGTGTGCATACTGAAGTTCGGGAAGCACTGAGCTGAAGAGAACTTAAGGAGCAGAGGAGAACTTAAGATATTAATAATTCAGTCACACCCAGGGGGAGGCCAAATAATAACACAACATACTGTACAAAGTAGCTCTGTGGAGCACAGCCAACACAGAGAGGCCGGGAGAGCCAAGAGCAGGGAGCTGCAGGGAGCTCCCAGGCACAGTACTGGGACCAGGCCCACCTCCGAGCCGCCAAACACGGTTATCTGCCCACTGAAGATCAATCAACTGTCAATCTGTTTGGGCTTATCATTGTACACAAGAGTTCTAAGCAAAAGGAGCTGATGCCTAGTTTTATATTAATGCATATTTATTTAAGAGGTATAATTAAAGAGAAAATAGGGTCTATGCCTATTTTCTAAGTAACTTTTGCTTCAAAATGAGTATGTTATCCGCACTTGATTCAAGATCAGGGTTCCATTATTCCCTGGAACATGCAGAATTTGCAATTTAAAGTTCTGTGAGGAGGTTTGGTATTAAGGAACTAATACTCGACCCACCGCAGGTGAAATGCTATTAAGTATATTACCCAGGGCTGTGCTCTACCTCCACAGAACAGATTTCACTCTAAGAGCCCCTTTGAATCAGTGTCAGAAGCCCTAAAATGCTCAATGGGGGTAGTCAAATAACAATGGATGGGGTAGTTAAATAACAGAAGGCATGAAATTAACAAGAAAAAAGAATACCAGAAAATAAAAGTGTCCTTTTCTATCAGTTAAATAGTTGGCCAAAGAAAAAAAGTTAGTCTTAATTTTCTGCTTGAAATCGATCTGGTTATGGGCTGTTAAGAGTTAACATTTTTGTGAAGTTACTCAAACCTTGGTCCTACCTAAGAATCCTTCATTCTAAAACAGTAGCTGCATAGATAATACAAGCGACCTAACACTACTACACCCTATTACACTATAGCACCCAACTATTTTTCTTAGTAGTGGGGTCTAACAGTTTCTGTGCACCACTGGCATTTTCACTTGATGCTTTCCTATGTGCTGTCTACATCTTTCAGCTCTCAACCTGGTCAGCTTAGACACACACTATTTCTGCTGGTTCAGACTTGCATGCGCAGCTTTATAAAACAGTAATTTCCTTAGAAGCACATGTCCCAGGAATTGTTTGCCTGTCTTCCCAAAAGAAGGCTGCCTTTATTGTTTACAGTTCACCATGGATTTTTTTTTTAAGATGTCTGGCTGTTTACTAAAATCAAGAATGGATGTTTAGTTTTGTCAACTGCCTGCTATCTTATGAGTGGAAACAACTGTGAGCTTCACTGCTTTCCCCGTGAGTATTAGGCAGGCTGTGGTTTCGTTGTCCGTGCCTGAGGTGTCCCGCATCCCTACGGTCAGCCTAATTCAAGTCACTCTAAGAGAACAGCCCCCGGCATGGGTTGCTGTTCTCTAACTTGTCCTTTTATTTTAGGCTGCTCCATCAATGTGCACAAGTGAGATTGGCTGGGAGTACTACTGGATTTTAGATTAAGCCTTTATTAGTCTTAAAGGGTATAGAGGACTATTGAACCATCCTGTCCTACTGGTATAAAAACCGTTCTTAAAAGTTTTGAATTTTTTTCACATATTCTTTGATTCATGCTGCTTTTTTTGGGTAAGAGGGGAACTCATTTTGATTTTCTTTTTACCACATTAGTTATGCTAATAGAATCTTGGTTTGTTTTTTTTTAATCTTATGAGAATCAAACTTTAAGTTTACTAATGATTGAGACTTTCTCATTTTACTATTTTCATGACAATTTCTGTTATTTTTCTTTTTAGCTTTTTTATTTTGATAGATAATAACAGGGGAATAAAATTATTAAAATTCTGACATAATCCATTATTGATAGTTGTATCATTTAATAATAATCTTTTATGATATCCTATGTATCTTGTGATAAGTCTATTTTTCCCCAATTCAGCTGATACTTGGAGGTTTTAGTTTGCCATAAATTCTATTTCTTAAACAATTATTTATCTAAATAGGTAGCACATACCGAATTTAAGAAATTCAAATTCAGAGGGACCTGTGAATTTCCTCTCAACCCAATTTTTAGTACTCTATGCCTCCTCCTTAGGGATAACCACTGTTAACAGATTTCAGCTTGTTTAGGTGTATTCTGTAAAATGAACAAAGTTGGTTTTAAACTCACTGAGAACATACTACATCCTTTCCTACAGCTTGACTTACAAGCCACTGGAAGAGAATTAATCACAATGTTAAAGTAGCTTAATCCTTTTCAATGGTGCATTTTTTGTGTTTGATTTTATTTCATTATGATTTATGTGGGTGATTTTATGAAATTTTTTTGAATTTACTAGAACTCACATGTGACAAATGATTACTTCTTACGAGTCACGTAAAATTTCCTGCTTGGCTATGTATATAATTTTCATGAAATGTGTCTTAATTTTACCGGTCATGTAACCTAAAATGCCAATATTTTTTCTCGCTATGTTTGCTTTTCAATAATGAGGAGGGGAGTTTTTCACCCCAACTATGTTCCTCTTCATTGCTCCCAAGACCTGGGTGTTCTGACTTCAGCATTCAGTCACAGAGTGCTTTTATCATTTCCCTCAAGACACCCTGGATACATTTTAGTTTAAGACACTACTTTCTCAGATAAAAAAAAATTGTAGCTTTTGATAGTCTTTTAATCAACTTAATTGTTTGCTCTGCACACATCTTTATTTCATCTATGGTTTAAATTCAAAGAGATGCTTTTTTACTTGACATTACAATCCAAACGTCAAGTCCTAACGGACAGGCTTTGTTGAGCTGGGGAGGGCGGCAGCTCACTGGCATGGGGGCCCGGAGGGAAGGCAGACGCTGCTTCCTCCTGACTTAGGCTCAGAGCCCAGTGCCCAGTCACCTGGCCAGTGAGCTGGCCAGTGTCGGGTCAGTGGCAGGGAGGGTGGGATGTGCTCTGCGGTGGCGGCAGACAAACAGGCAGACAGGTTATGGAGGAGTTTCACCTTGTTACCCTCTGGCAGCTGAATGGACTGCAAGCACATCATTCCCACCAACCTCTACAGTTTAAGCCTCCATTCATTCTTTTAATACAGGAACATTATTTCTGAAACTCTTAATGACCAGCTCAACAAACTTGTTGCATATTTATGCAAATATTCAACATGACATGTGGTACTCAAATACACGTACATATACAAAAGTGCCTTATCAAGAATCTTTGAAGATTAAATGGACGGAGATTATAAAGTTCCTCTTCCACAAAATTTGTTTTTTTGATCTATCAGCCAAAAATGGTTCTGGTCACTAACAGAGCATCACTGAAGCCCGGATTCACCAATGCCAATTATGCAGAAATAGAAATTGAAAGCCACACAAGGTTCTAATATTACTGCCCAAATTCACACTGCCAATCCTCAAACTTCTAAACAAGCTTCATTAGTGTGATTCAAAGTTTCTTTAGGTTCAAGACATAGTCACACCTAGTTTTCACGAGGCCACCACTCCTTGTACTCTACCTGCACTGAATAAAGTTCTTTCCCTACAGCCCCTCAGGGACTCAGAGATTCAAGTCTATCTACCTCCAGAGAAAAAGGGCTGAGGAGATGCAAACTAGCAGAAGAATCAGCGTCCTGAGTTAGAACACGCTCAAACAGACACTTCTGAGACAAGCTGTGAAAGCAGAAGGCGATGAGTTATTCCCTGGCTTTTCAATGGTGCCAGAGGCTCCAATACTTCTCAGATGTGAGGTCACACACCAACACAACACTGCCTAGAGTTTCTGGATGTCTAGATGCCTGGTCAGAGTAATTTTCAAGTAAAATAATCTTTCTAATTCATGTAAGTAGTTGGACTTTGCTGGATTCACATAAATTATAAAACAAGTACCTACTATACACTTACAATGATCCCTCCAACTCATACCTAGGGTATAAAAAAAACATGCCACCTGTCTTCTTGCATGTTAGGAAAAGGAAGGTTATTCTAGGAAGAGGTGTAAGCACTTGGCAAAACTAAGTATTTTATTCATTGTAATGTTCATCCTTGTCTCCCCGGGAGGGGCAGCGGCCTACTAAGTGAAGCTGGTCTTAAGCTCAAAACCAAAGTCCCTCAGACAGAAAGGACCAGATGGGATCCAACCTTCCCACCTTATAAGGGTGTGTGTATGTGGGGGATGTTAGTGAGAAGTAACTTGGCTCCTGCAGCCATGTGAGGCTGATAAGCATGTCAATTCCTTTATGAAGCAGAGTCTAGTTAGTGACGAGGAATTAAAAAATAGTATAAATGGATTTTCTTGGTGATATTAAAGAAAGAGAGCAAGTGATTGCTAGGAAGTTGGTTAAGGCCAAGTCCTAGTGGTGGACGGGAAAAAAGACGATAAAAAGATGGCCCAAGAACTCCTGACACTTGGATTTCAAATACCCAGCCAGGTCTGGGTAAGTGCAGGCAACTCTCCGAACTCTTCAAAACAGTAATAATTGAGTCTACTGCTCTTCAACTGATCAGTGCCTCAGCAATCACTAAGTGCCCCCTCAGTACTGAAAATTAAAATAACTAATGACATTGCTGTACGCTGGATTACATCACAAAACTGAAAAGGGGGGGGGGTATTGTATTATTCTCCCATGCATAAGGCCACCCACGCAGCATGTAAACCTTGACACCCATTTACCTACACCACGCTTCCTCTGAACTGGAAGGATGGCGCTCAGTGAGACCAAACAACTATTGAATAATTCTTCTGACCTGCAAAATGAGAACGAAGTAGTCTACAGGTTTGTTTCGCTGGTAGAGGTAGTACTCGGGGGCTTTCTTGTTCTTCTCATCATACTTCAGTTCCTGGATGACATTGGGGTGCTTTAGCAGCCTTAGAAGGATCTTCTCTGACATCTGGGATGGGCTAAATGCTTCTACTTCTATAGATATAAACACAACTTGATATTATACTTCAAGTGGATGGAAAAGAAATTACACTAGTGATTAAGGTGTTTAGAGAATAAGAATACTCGGAATCAGCGTGATACAGTCTGAGTTAATGAGCTTTCTGTTTATTGATCCATCGGGGGCAGATTACCTGGGAGGTATTAGAAAACACTGAATTCTCACAGCTGTTTCTTTTAAAATTTTCCTTTTTAGCCTGTCACTGTTTTCAGTTCTTGTGAAGAACTGAAGATACCCTAGTTTTTGGACTGACAGAATGAAATTCAATCAGAAGCAGGCTCCCTGGTAGCCAGAAAGGAGGCGCTTCAACAGGCCCCAACAGCCTGACTATCCAACAGCAGCCACCGGAGAAAGCAGAGTCGGGAAGCGGCCAGGGGCGAGTGAGGGCCCCGCACTCACAGCCCTTCTCCACTCATCTACCCTGAGCCAGCCGGCCGGAGGGAGTGGGGACTCGGTCAAGGCAAGGCACGTGCACACACCGACATGCGCTCCAACTTGCTAATTTAAGAAAAAGGACGTTGATTTGTATTTACAGAGAAATGGGTCTTAGGAATAGCAAAAACCAAGGTTGCTGACTCGACGGTGCTATTCTGAAACTGGGCTTCACAGCATCTCAAGTGATGTTTGACTAAGTTGTGGTTCTTGAGTGAGGAAGAACAGTATCTTGTTTATATGTTTTTCAATTGTTGTTTGGAAACAACAGATTCTGTGTTAGCTTCTTGTGACTTTTTGTAAAACAAGGTAAGGCAGTGCACTGTGAAAATTTTGGAACACATAGAAAAAGACAGAGAAGGATAAAAACGACCGGCCGTTGGTGACCACTCTGAGCCATCGGAGCCTTCTCCCAGCGCCGGGCCTGGCGAGTGTGGCTGTGTCTCTGCCTGTGCGTGTGTGCACGTAAGAACACAGCTCTGCCTACTGTGCAGTTTAATACCCTGTCTCCTTGCTTATTTTACGATGCATTAGCAGCATTTTCCCATGTAAAGAATGTTAAGCTGAGCATTTCCATGTATCTGAAAACGTGATCTTTAAAGAGAGGGTAACGCTCCACCCCGTGGCTGCAGGGAGCCCTCGCTGGGTGTTCTAAGCGGACTGGGCGGGCTGCGCCTTTCCAGGTCCACTCGCCCTCCCCTGGCCAACAGGGCTGGCCCTTCACCTAGCGAGCCATCTGGGGTGAGAGAAGGGTTAGTCAGTCTGTTCAGTCCATTCAAACTTGACCTCTCTGGGGCAGTCAGTGCCAGCCAGGCTGGTGGTTTTAATAATGCGACCGCTCGCCTCCCCTGGACTGGGCCCAAATTAACCATCTGATTGGAAGAGGCCACCAACAAAGTCACGTCAAAGTTCTCAGAATTTCTGATTTCATTCAAATCCTAAGAGATAAAGATTTCATTTTGAAAATATTTCTCTCTTTGCAAATCCTAGCACCTGTGTTACCACCAATGTCCAACTGTTCTTCCGAAGCAAGCTGAGGAGAGAACAATTCGACTGTCCGGCCCCCGGCCGGGGGCTGGGTCGCACTGTGGCCCCGGCGCCCGCTGTGTGCCGGGGCCGCGCTGGGAGCAGAAGACCTGGCCTACATTGGCATGCAGTGCGGCACTACGTTCGTCCTTACCTTTCAGACCAATTTTAAGTTACTGGTCCACCCCTGGTAAAGTCTGAGGGTTCATGCCGACACTGAACACAGGAGAGGAGAGAATTTAAAAAGAAAAACAAAAACAAACAAAACAAAACAAAAAAACGAGAAACAAAACACAAGAGCGGCATTACTCATCGCCCCGGCGCGGCTGCGCCACCCGCCCACCCGGCGGGGGCAGAGCGGCTCGGGCTGGCGACACGCACGGCGGCGGCGGCACTTGCCTGTGGCGAGGAAGCGGTGCATGGCCAGGAGCAGCTGGGGCGATATTTTGACCTTCATCTCGCTGTCCGTCTGCTTAAAGGCAGAGAAGTCCTGCTTTCTTTCTCGATGGGCCACTTTCTTTTTAGTTCTGTTATCAGCTGGGGGAGGAACAAGAACGGGCAAAGTGAGGAAACGGATCCCTTTCCAGCAGGGCTCCCTGTGAGCAAGGGGAGCAGCTACACTAGCGAGGTCAGGCCTCTGACTGGCCTTCTACATGCTCCCGTCTCACGGGGGCGGAGGGCGCTGGAGAGAGAGGCCGGCCGTGCTGCGTCCAGCAACACGGGCCCGCATCAGCGACAGCACAGGGACCGGTGGGCAGAAGCACAGGGCCCGAGTGCCCACAGCACCACGCGGCGCTGGAGCAGGGGCCGCAGAGCCTGTACAGGCCCGCGGCCCGTGGCCTCGCTGTGCAGCAGGCAAGACGCCACGCCACAGAGGACATGGACGTGTCTGGGCCTCTACGGGAAGAGAAAACACAGGGGCACAAACAGAATCCTTAACAGACAAATGAGCACGTTCCCAGGACGATGTATCTGAGTAATACCTGTCT